CTGTTCTTAATGACCTGGAGCAAACTTTCTAAATCGGTCAAAACGCAATTTCCACATTCATCGAGTGATTAGACTGAACAAGAGGCAAACGCACCGCGCTCGTAATTTCCCTAATTGTTCCCGTCCCCAGCCAAACCCGGATAAGCGCTTGGCTGTACGACAAATATGTCCAGTTCCATAGGAACAGGTGATCGAGCATACACAGGATGAGCCTGTCAACATTGTGACGGTGGTCCCTTTTGGCTGAAAGCTTGTGTATAACTAGCTAAAGCATCGATAATACAATACAAATAATGCACATGAGAGATTTCTTTTAATAATTTTTACCTTAATATCTCCCTTGGACAACAGATGCATATATACAGACTTCATCATTGTTCCCATTTCCTTTGGAAGTTTATGTCCTAGGAATCATACCAATAAATAGTCATGCATAGCCATTTTGCGCAAAAAAAATCCGCAAGAACTGAACTTTACTATCAATGATAGCCGCCGTGCTGGGTGACAACACACAAGACTTTGAACCGATGGCCGATAGAGGCATCCAGGTGTGGTTGTACGTGCTCTGCGCCGTCCAAATGTAAAGCGCCTGCTCAAGAACAGCAGGAGTCTATGCCTACACTCACCGTATGTAGTGATCACAGTTGGAAGTAGGTGAGAGCTTGAAGTACCTTGGGAGCTAGATCACAGCTGGTGTTGATGGTGTTGGGGAGATTATATCACGAATAGCGAAAGTTACAGCAGCTTTTACCAACCTGCGACACCTATGGCGTAACTGTGACAACCGACTGTCTCTTAAGGGAAGGGTGTACACCGTCACGATTCGTGGTGTTCTACTTTAGGGTTGCGAGACCTGGCCTCTCCGAGTGGAAGATGCCAGCGGACATTTTGTATTTGACCACCGATTTTTCCAAAGCATTGTCCATGTCTGGTGGGAACGAGTTTCGTCATCATGTGTCGGATGCAGATAGCGGTTCTCTAAAAGAAGTAATCACTCTACACCACCTCTGATAGTTTGGTCACGTTTTGCATATGCCTGCTGGTCGGCTACCTTCCCGTGCTTTCTTTGCACGTGTTGAGTAAGGCTGGAAGAAGAGCCTCGGCGGTCAGACCATGACGGCGTAGAGGTGTGAAGAAACCGGCTTCAGTTTTGGATTCGGTTGATGCAGCCCGCCTCCCCGCTTCAGGACCAAGGGATGAAGATTGTCGTTGGTTAGATATGGTGAGAGATACGTTCAGGTCAGTTTAAACAACCATGAAGCATGCGTTTCCGTGTGACGCAATGGTTGCTGCCTTTTTGCTGCCCATTTTGGATGAACAATAGGAGGAAAACAGCAAGGATGAAAGTAGGATCGAACTGAAAGTTGAGTTCAGTGGACTGATGATCCAGAGAAATTAAGAAGATGCACGAACGAAACTATTTACGACACCCACCCATATCACTTAGCGTCTCTAACGACCGGTTACGACCATCTCAAGCCCCCCAGGGAGCTTAACAGGACCTATGTGACCCAGACCCCGGGTTAGGGTTTTCATACCCTCATGCCAGGTCTTGATCACTCTTGGCTTTATTCCAATCACTACCTGCCTAGGCGAACATTGCTCGCCGTGGCAACCTATTTGGTGGCAAGCTTAACACATGCCCCACATGTCCCGGAATAGAAATCAGTGGCGCGGTCTGCGTGTGGAAATTCCGTGTCCCATAAAAAAACGATAAACTAGCACACAAAAACAAAACGGTGAGATAAACTATTATCCTCGTTATTCCACTCAACTGCTTGACCCCTTCGTACTCTGCTGTGTATCCCAACCCCCTCGAAAAAGAGGAAAAATAATGGAAATGAATATACCCTCCACCCTGCTCCAATATGCACCGATAACTGGACGGAGCTATCTTTGCGGAGACAATCAAGAGCAGCGAAGCATCCATCGTACGCAAGCTGTAAGCTTTTGGATTCATACCTTACCCCGCAGTGTGCTTATAAGGATTTCGTACAAGCAGTTAACCTCTCCCTGGCACATACACTTCATCGACTCAAACACACGTGAAACCTTGTGAACTTCTGATATTGTGATCAATAAAATGGCATGATCAAGAATGACCGAAAACGGATTGATTGATTGTGTTGTTCGCAACGAGGTGGAAGCTGAACTGTTCTAGTACTCAAACTTTCTGTTTCAAGAGAGTTCGCTATAGTAGCTCAATTTGATCAGTACAGTAATTCAAATTAACTCCGGGTAATTTGTAATCAACCGATGCCAAGCACTGATTGCATCACAAGAACACAGAACTACC